TTCAACGCCCGGTCACCTTTACAGCGATCATCCCTTTTCCAAAAGGGTTGTGATTTTCAAATCTACTGGGTGTCTCTTTCAACATTTCCCCCATTGGTAAACCAAATTCCATCCAACGTCCGCTTGTACAGCGGCTCAAGCGCTTGTGCAGCGCTACAACCCAAGTTGTCCCCGGCCCCTGAGTTTTGATGGAATTTGGTTTCCCTGCAATGGGCAGGCTCTGCTCGGCCAAGATGATGTCAATCTCACCTGCTTTCCTTAGACAGGGTTTACCTTTCAGCACCGCCACTATATTTCTTAAAATTATTTAATTCATCACAAGGCGTCAGCAAAGTCTCTTCAATATGATTCAAGTGTTTTGACGGCCAACCCCAAACACAGGGAAATAGCCTAGTACATGAATTCCATACTTTAAGATTTGTATTCCAAGAGCCAGATCTATTCAAAAACTTCATGCTGAGAATGGGATTGGTATCTCATAGGTTCACTATAGTTTGGATTAGTTTGGATGTTTTGTGTCATCACGCCCCCTGTCTGAAGGATTTGAAGAAAGTAATGGCTACATCCAAAAAAAAAAAACATTGGTTTGAAAGGAGACTTTGTGGCCAAAAAAGATACGCCAAAGGGAAAACAAATGTGAAGCAACCCTTTGCACGAAACAACCTGGGAACATGAAAATGGATTATATATATATGTATATATAATAAATAAATAAATAAATAAATAAAAAAGTAAATCATATATATATATTATATGTTAATGCAGAGTATCTCTTTTTTGGGCGGGTAACGGACTCCAATCTTCCAAGTCTACTTGGGTTTGAATTTTGCGGCGATCTGAGGATGGCTCCGGCTTTTTGATCGTGAACCGCGCAGAAGTCCGGGTCTCGGAAGATCTGAGTTGAGGGACACCCAAAATCCCTGCAGGTTGATGGTTGGAATTGAATATGATTTAACAATCAACAATGAGCGTTCAACCGCTATAAGTATTGATATTGATGCAATGCAGGAATGATGGTTGGTTAATGATTAATCCCGGTTTATACTGCTACAAAGGGTACATGATGTCATGTGGACTGAACTAGCAATACCGAAATATCTATGAAACTATCGATTCACACGTTGATGACGAAAGGTTTCGGGCACTGGCCTATGCCCTGAGGTGTCTGCGGATATCGAACCCCTGGAGTACACACCTAAGCCAGAGTGCGCTGCTAGAGGGCGCTGCTGGAGGGTGTTCCCTGGGCGGCAGTCAGTCTATTGGGCACCAATCTGGTTCCTGGGTTTCTGCCTCTGGGGAAGATAGTGTGAACATCAATTGTGAAGTCTGTCGAGTTGCACTGTTCTTTGTTCTTGGGCGGAACATCATGACATCTCATGACATCTCATGGAGTCTTAACTCCGCAAATCATAGCTGCAAGATGGGGGTCCAAATTACAATTTGGTTTCAAATCCCGTGAAACTTGAAATATCTGTAGATATATCCATTACAATTTCCATTACGAACCGGACTGAATCCACTTATAGTTTTCTTCCCTACAGTAGGGGGTCAGCAACGGGCCCCATCCTTTGCCAGGTACGAAGGTGTTTTCCAAACCTACAATGAGGAAGACGAGGCCTCCGCTCATCCAAAGATGGCGAAGGGTGGCCATGCGTTGTCATATATGTAATTATATATATATGGTTTGTTTTTTAATGTTTATATTATTTATTTTTGGTTTTATCCACTCTAGAGTTTTTTCCCTCTTTCTAAATAAAAAGTGCTGCATGATCTGCATGTCCTTCATCAGGTTCATCCCTTCATATTTATTCAAAGTTTCCTGATCCGTCGTTGTTACGAAAAATGTGTGTTGATGCTGAAACTCAACATTCAGGCTGTGGGAGAATCAAGGATCAGTGGTTTCTGGTTTTGTTAAGTGTTGGTGAAAATCCAACCAGGTTTGCATGCATTTAGTCTGATGTTGTTTGCTGGTCCAGTAATTTGACATGTTGTTCGAGTCTTTGTCTGCCCAGCTTGGGGTTTATATTAGCTAATTCCGCCGAATTCATATTCTAATTCCCTATAAAGATCTATGAAGTTATCATGAACAACTAATGATTTCATCTAGTTCATCTATGTTAACCTTATTTCAAATCATGTTGCCCCATGGAGTTCCTCAAGATTCTCAAGTTTCTCCATGGCTGTTGAAGCCGTTGGCTTCACCCGTTGGATGCCGTTGGCTTCACCCCCTTCCACGGGGTGGTTGAAAGGTGGCCCTCTTGAAACGCTTCTTTCTGCTGATGCGCGAGACCTGTCCACATGTCATGGTGCGCCCAGTCGCATTCGGTGGAGGATTTTCGTAGAACATGGGGCATCTGATAATGGGGCTTAACCATCAAAGACAAAGATGTCAACATCTGTGGAATATGATATATTGGAATGTGTTGTATGTATTGTTGGTAACAACATGCAACAGCTGCTTTATTGTGAAAAAATATGTTGTTTGCAGATGATTTTCCACGGGTACTTTGAGGTTTAGCCGGTACTCTAACCCCATGCACGCCTCCCACACCTCCCGTTGTCAGGTCAGTTTCAACGGCGACTTCTTTGACTATCCCTTCGTCCAGAATCGTGCCAAGGTGAATGACTGAAATGGCGTTTGGATCTTTAAAACTGATATTGCTGTAACTATTTCCCCTATGACATAAATTGTGGGAAACTCTGAATTTCGATTTAAATATCCATTTACTGCCTGAGGTTGTGATGTTTTTCTGGGGTTTGGGTGCAAACAGCAGCACTTATAGTTGAGAAACGTTGAGAATTTCGAGCACCCGATGAACCAACCACCGTTAAAGTATGGCCTGTGTGGACCAAGACGGACCCGAGACGGTGAAGGATCGGATCGTTGCGAAGTCTTCGTCGCCAGTGGCATGGCTAGGATCCAACTTCTGGAGTGTGGTATTTGTTAGCTCGGATGGTTCTCCCCTTGAGAACAGGTTGAAATATGTTGAAATATATGTGATTTCTACATGCCCATTGGATCCCATTGGCTTCTCGGGCCCCAAATATCGGAGGCCTACAACTTGGATTGGTACGAAGAGGCAGGAAATGTGTCGAGTAGGTCAAGGATCGTTTAAGCGGTAGGGACAGATTCAAATTGGGGACAGATCCCAGTATTTGTTGCGCCACAAAATATGACGGAATCACCAAGAAACACATGTAAGAACATATGGGTATGTCACTGGTCCAAGATTCCCTGCGTTGGTTGAAAGGAAAATGTGCAGGAACCCCAGAACCCCTATGCCTATGTTTCATGGCAACAAAAACATTGTTTCCCTCAACGTTTGCCATCTTGGTGGAACCTTGGCAGGTCGTAGCACACAAAAATATACAAAGGGGGACATAGAAGCTGGCATTCGAAAAGTTCCCCTTGGTATCTAGTCTAAGATGTGTCTTGTAATGGCACAAAAGTGGGGATGTCCAGATTAATTGCTTTGATATGCTTGACCGGAGGATACAATTCAGGGCATTGATGACCGCTTTCGGTGAAAATTATCAGGAGCCCAGTTCCCCTGCAGATGGGCAGTTTCTTGGGAGGTATTATCTTATCAGCATAGCATCGTATGATTTGTTGCTTTTTTTTGGGTACCCCGTACGTGGTACCCCCTAAAGAAAATCTTGGGTCTAGCAATCCGGGGTTGGAGTTGTGGCCTCCGATCGGCCTTGTGTGGCTCAACGGCTGAACGTCGGCCTGAAAAATCCTCTAGGTGAACATTCAGTGAGCAGACTCGTGTTTGGTTGGTGATGCTTTATTTTCCATCCAAGTTCTTTTTAAGCAATCAGACGCTGAGTTTTGGTTTGATCAAAATGACCTGGCCAACCAGCTTGTAGATGTAATATGATGTAATCAAAAAACTCAGCCTTTGGTTTACTGCACTGACTTCATTATATTTGTATATATTTGATCATCAGTAGGATCTCAAGCTTTGATCTCAATAGAATACGTCTTTTCCAACATTAGAGGGGCACCTCTTTGAACAGCGCGGATCCAGTCCTCGCCATGGGTAGCCCCCATCCCATGGTTTGTCATATTTTTTCCCACTAGGTACCCTCTGGTAATTTAACATAGCTATTGAAAATGGGCCATTTATAGTTGATTTACCTATTAAAGATGGTGATGTTCCATATGATGTTAGCTTACCAGAGGGTATCTCCCCATTTCCAGTGTTTTTTTTAGAAAGAGATCAACAAACCGCGTTGGGCCTGCCGTGATGGACACTCTTCACAGTTAAGATCTGAGATGGGGCATGGATCACGGGTGGTTTCGCGGGTGGAGGGTGGGAGGAATCGCAAAGAGTGGGCCAGTGGGTGGTTCCGAAATGTATTCAGTCCGTTTCGGATTGGTGGATTTTGTAGAATCTTGAAACTTCGGACCTTCGGACTATAGTGGTAGTCTTCGAGTCATTTTCGGGGCATATAGCTTAAAGATGTTTGTGCTTTAGATGTGGCTATTGCCGGGGCTCACTAAAGCCCTGAACTTGGTTCTTTCTGCAAACGGTGACTATGAGATGCTTGCAGCTTTCAATCTGTGGTTGGGCGTCCTTAGCTAGTCGTTCCACGAATTCTTATATATATTGCTCTTTGGTGATACAGATGATTATACACGTGAAGAGGGACGATAACCAACTTTCTGTATCTTTCTTCCACCACGCTGTGAACGCCTACAATTTCCTCACCTTTAGACCCTGGCTGGGGTGAATCCCTAGCGATCGCTGTTGACCTGGGTCTAAACTGATAGGATGTTTGTGGCTGATCTGCCACCTTTCGGATTCTTATACAGCACGATCTCGATTGAGATTTCCCAGCAAGGTTGTAAGGAAGAAGAGCGCCGTGCCGATTGTCTGCAGCTTTGATGCTGCGGCGCAGAATCAAGGAGCTCTATCATGTTCATACTCCCATTGTAGTTGCTGTCTCCCTGTGGCGACATAGTAGATGGCGGCAGCGGGGGAAATTGTAGCGTCATGCAATGCGATGCACGCGGCCTAGGGGATTCCAGCAGCTCCTTTGCTTCTGGCTGCAAGCAAAGTTGCACGGTGGCTTCCTGTTGCCGCTTTGCAGGCTGCTTTTGCGGTATGCCCGTGAGATCCTCTGGATAGCTCGGATCACGATATCTTTTTGTATGTAAACCATGCAGTTTGCCACTGGAGTGTCTTGGGGCAAAAGCTTGCTAACCATTTACTTAACCCATTTCTTGGCCCATCCAAGTACAAGCTGTTGGAATTCAGACAGCATCTCTGTTGCCACTAATTATCACTTATTATGAATTGTAGCTAATTGTCGTATTCAGGCTTGAGCCTACAATTCTACCTGGCTGACTGGGTATTGGCCAGCATACTCAGACCTCAACACGCACAGGGATTTTGATCATTTGTTGTTTGGCAATCATCCAATTCCAAACGCCCAGAATTGTATTTGTTGGCGTTTAGCCGCATGAGGGTAAGCCGTTTGATAAGTTTTACGCCTGAAAACAGTGTCCGCAGGTTTTTAACTATACAGTCACTGTCGGGTTTTTGATGGATGTATCACTCCAGTTGGGTGAACATCAGTGAAACAGTGCGCGGAACTAAATAAACATAAAGATACATAAAGCATAGCCAACTTAAGAATCACTGTCAACAACCCAAGGCTTTCAAGCGGCCGAGCCTCCCAGGCTGTAGCGATGGCGCGGATGCTGGGGACGAGGATGAGAGTGAGACAGGCCACCCCAAAAGGGACGTACGGAGGACGTTGGTCTGCTGTTTTTTTGTCGGGAATGTTTTGAGGTAAACAAAGATGATAAACCAATGATATCCCATAGCTTTCCAAAACTAGAGAGGAGAAACTCAATGATAAAGTGGCTTGTAGACTTTTAAACAGTGGGGTTGATTATTAGGTTTGTGGTTTTTGGTTTGTCACATACAGATCCTGATTGGACTTATTTGCATATTAAGAAATTGTCAGGTGGGATACCGGGATACCTACTCAAACGTAGTAATAGTACTCAATAGGACAAGATGTAGTGACACTTGCACCCCTTCAAGTCCGCAATTTCAAAATTGAGATAGTAGAAAAGGCAAGGTCGAAAGTTTCTTGCCACACTTGTTCTATGTTTGAACAATGATTTTTTGGGTTGTACCGATACTTTTGCTGGTTTCAATGGTTTTGGTGGGAAGACAACTTTTGGACTTTCCATTTCTGGCCAGACAAATTTTACTTTCATTGGTCCAATCCTCAGTTCAGCCTAGAAAGCGTTGGCCATGGACACCTCTTGAACGGATCAAATGGGTTACCCCATGACTAAAGGTCACACAGGCAAACAGTGCTCGCCTTGAATCAGATAGAAACTTAGGAGGTGAATATGTTTGGGAAGTTTGAGGAGTCTCCGGTCATAAAGCTAGAATTCATTCCCTTTGCCCATACAATTCCTGTCCACTTATGCTCGTCCCATGCACGTTGTGGCCTGTGATTTTATTGCCAGGACTTCGTCCCAACATATCCCAACCAATTGAAGTGTCAATGGCAAGTCCCTATATTTTATGTTTCTTTCTGGTGTGTAATCCCACTCCTGATGAACAAATCCCTAACCCGAGCCTATGACAGGTTTCAGGGTCTGCTCTGTGTCTTCGGATGTCTGTGCCCCAAGAAAGGTGGTCATGGTGGAAGGTGACGACCTATTTGGATCCCGTTTTGATGGCTGCTTCACAGCCCAGGTAGAACTCAAAAAATCCTGGAGTATGGAGTGCGTGGTTATTACATGTTATGAACCACCTCGTGACTATCTGAATGGAGATCCAAGATGATCCAGTCGCAATCCCTTCCCCTTAATGTTGTATACCCTTGACATGGCCCCGCAAAATGAATAAATCAGCATAAATCCAATCCCAAACTATGCTTATTGATGTTTTTCAACATTAGGATACATTAGGGCAAAGGGATCAGGACTGGAACATGGTAGAAAATCGTCTCACCACTAACAAACCATGACACCCAATCCATAAATCATGTCCGAAAAGAAGACCTCATCATCATCATCATCATCATCATCATATCGAATCATATCGAATCATCTCATTTTTCACCATCCATTGAAAACTGCTAAAATCCATTTGGAATTTATATGGTTCCGATGGTTTTCATGGTGACGGTTGTACTGTATGAGTTTTATGGTTTCCATGATCAGGTCCCCGCCTTGCTGCGGAGCCTCTATGAAGCCCGCCGCTCAAGCGGAGAGGTGTCCTTCCTGTCAGGGAGACTCAGCGGAGACGTCACCAGGGAAGTCCCCAAGCTCGCTGGTTGGTTTACAGTGGAAAATCCCTACTAAAATGAATGATTTAGGGGTACCCCTATTTTAGGAACCCCATATATATATAATTATATATATATATATAAATATACATATTCACACGTCGAGATGAAAGATGATGAAATGTGATGAAATATATGAGCTTGCTGGAATATTCCCCTTGTGTTTGCTGGTTAGATCCCCGTCTATTGGATTAAATCCCTACGCGTAGAATCGTAGAATTTCTTCAGAATGGCCAATAGTCAAGTCCAAAGCAATGGCCGTGAGGAATTGAGTCCATGGGTGTGAGGCTTTTAACGAGCTCAAAATGATCAAAGCCCTAAGATGATGAGGTCACGTCAGCTTTGTGTGAATAGTTAGGTCATGGTACGGATGCTACCTCGCTCAAATGTCCATTCTGATGATTTTTTGAGGTATCCGCCATTGGACAAACCTGATTGCTCCCTTTTGTTCCCAATATTTTTCCCTTGTCACTTGTCTACTTTCTGCTTATTAAACATATTTAACATAGCTATGAACAATGGCCACTTTACAGATAATTGACCTATTGCAACATCAGTGATTTTCCCGTATAATCGCCAGAGGCTTTTAGGCTCGAAGAAAACACACAAATCCAGTGACCAGCAGCGAACAAAGAGACAGGCTTTTAGAACAATTACAGTAATATCGATGGTGACGTTCCATGGGTTTATCTATGTTTATCTCTTCAATGTTGGTTGGTCCGTTCAGAAAAAAAACACTATATAACTATAGTAGACTATAGTCTATGGTTATATCTACTATAAATCCTATAGTTCAGCTACTTTTAATTAACTACAAAAACTGGAACACCAAAATCATCCAAAATCTTTGGTTCAGTGGTCAAATCACTATGTTTTTTCATGGTCAAGCCCCCATTCTTTCATGATATTATTGTACGGTCAAGCCTACTAAATCCCCACTAAATCCCCGTGAGATCCCCTATGAAATCACCATTAGGGCAGCATTTGTCATGGTGAAGCCACCCCTTGCGTTCCCATGGCCGTCTGCGAAGAGCTGCTACGACCCTTGCAGCGAGCGGTGAGAAGGCGCAAACAGAAAAGAACCAGGGACCCCCTGGAAAACTTGCAGTTTGCGACCTGGAAAATCACAATGTTTTGATAGGTAAATGATTGGAGCAAAGCTCACCAATGACAATGGGCAACCAGACTTGCTAATGATGTTCCATTGGTTGAAACAACTTTTTGGGGTAACTGGGATGCATACGTATTTATGTTGACAAGAAGTATAGGACACAAGGTGGTGCCCCAGTTCGTTGGCAAAGTTGGTTGAACTAACTATTCAGGTTGAACAACAGGTGGAGCAATTATTCTGGTTGTAAAGTGCAAAACTATTCAGGCCGTAATCAGCTTGAACAGAAAGGTTGATGTACTGGAACACTTTAACTGATATTTCACCACTATCACATCGCAATCACTTCCTTTATTTCCCACAACTTCAATTGAAAACTATCCCCGCTATTATCCGGTCATGATAAAATGGTCATCTTGTCTCTGAAAATGGGATACCCTCTATTCAAACGGACTAAAACCTCACTAGTTCTCTCTTATTTGGCAATTTTGGGGCTAAATGCCATTGTCGGATATACCTGTACCGGATATACCCTGTATTCATGAACATCAATAGACATCAATGAACATCCAAGTCTTTGACTTTGATGAACATCGAAGTATTGATTGGTGACCATGTTTTCCATGGTGGAACTACTTTTTTCACAGTGAATTCCACATTTTTGGACCCGACTGTTACTGACCCAGGAGCCACTGTGGGCTTCGCCATGGCGCGCGAGCCATTTCGACGGGGGAGGTGAGATGAGAAGCTCGGGGGATGATGGTGACAGATCTGGGGAATTCATCCAACAAAATCGCTGTATCCATTGGGCAGAAAATATTCGCCCAATGTTTCTGGCATTTGATTTGCTTTTCTTAGCTAAGCAGCAAGGTTTTGAATTTATGGCAAATTTATGGGGATCCCAATGGTACAATAAGTTAAACTGCTTCACTTGGATGCAGATCCGGTTCTTGTAGTAAAACCCAAAATGTAGTTTCTTAAGTTCCCATGGTTGTTTCTGAACAAAGAAATTAAATGTAATGTTCATCCACTTATAGTCAAATATTATAATGACAATCACTTTACCCATGAAAATGGCTTGCAATCCAAAAATGATGTTTGCGTGTGTCCCGTGATTGACATGTTGGTGGGCAAACAATATTAAACAATATAGGTAACCATAACTGTTTGGAATTGACCTTTCTGTAGGTCCATCAATAGACGCTACTTGGCCCTACTGTACGTAGTCATGTGCGCCATGTTGAAAATTTGGATTCTATACCAGTATTGGGACGTTGTCATACACCATGAATCATTTTAATCATTAATAGGGAAATTATGAACCTAGCACAAAGAATTCCTAATGATGGTGGGATGATCAAAAGCCAAATGCATCCAAATGCCATGTTTTGACCACAGCACACATGTGCTCTGGTCAAAAGTTGGATAGCCACTGGGCTCGAGCCTCCACGGGGCCTGGCCGGATAGCCTGTGGGGGGGTGAACCGATCGAGCCATGTCATGCTCTTCAGCATGCTATTCAGTTGTCGACTGCCAATGTGCCCCAGCAGACGATCTATAACTCGCAAAATTGGTACTTGTGGTTCTATGGCCATTATTTCTGCGATTGCATTCTCTGCTGGCTATTTGCCGACTCTTGTCCGCGCTGCTCTACTGGGCTTTGCGGTGCACCTTTTGATCCTGCATGGGAACTTATTGGGATGACTTTGGTTTCGTTAATGCCACTGAGTTCAGCTTCGGCATATGATATTCTCTGCAGCTCTCCTCGTGGCAGTTCGCGGTGGCCTGTATTTGTTGTTTCTGGTGATTTGCAGCCGCTTGGTGCGCTGAGTAAAGCCGAAATTATGGAGACAATGTATGTGATCTCCTTGTGGTCCATGTTTCCAGATAGGATTTTGCTTACGGATTGGGACTGGTCAATTGTACCTTGATGCCGTCTCTGGTGAGCTGTTGTCCTCCTGGATTGGTGCATGACATTGAATTCTCTTCCGCAGATGATAAGTGCCAAAGGCTACGGGTGCATTACTCTGGCCAAATTTGGTGTGTTGTTCATCAGTCGCTTCAGGATTGCTTTTGCTTGACAGCCTGATGTGATGTAGCAGTTGGTGTCCCCGAGCATTGCTATGACATTGCTGTCATTGTTTGCCATGGTTTTATCACCTAGCAGGGGGCTGCTGCGCAATGCGGTTAGCCTCCGGCTGTGGAACGGGAGATATGTCCCTGGCATGCCGTCAGTTGTGTTTAGTTCATGCTTGTTGTTATGCTGCCTTTGACCCGCCACCAGTGCCTGGGCTTAGTCAGTGTGGAATCTGATCCGCAAGCTCCGTGTCAAAAGTTGGATTGTATCACTATAACCATGTTAGGAATGCTCATCAATCCATCAATGGGGATTTATATACCCGTTATTTGAGGATTCCTATTATGGGATTGTATATTAGTTATATATCTACCAAAATACAAGATAATATCGTATATACCAATAGGAAACCAATCTTATATCATCGATCCCATTGGTTATGTTATCATATACCGTATATGTTTATAACATTTTATAACCAATGGGATTATATACCCATGTAACTTTACCCATGTAATATTGGGATGGATACCCTATGTTATTATATATACCATGTTTATCACCAATGGGATCATATACATTTCATATACCATATATCTCAGGTATTATACCAATATTGGGATGGATGACCATAAACCACTGATCCCACTGATCCCTGAGATCAGCTGCTTCGTGGCATCGTGATTCATCGCCGCATCTACCCCGCCGCTTGGACCATCCGGGACCTGCCGTTGAAGTGGCGCGGGACGGGCGAAGTCAGAGATGTTCTTGGATAATTTGGATTTGAACCATACAGAAATGGATGGAACACTGGGTCTGAACCAAACATACGTACATTTACTATGTATATATATATATAATAGTTTTTTTTCTTGGTTATGTTTGATCAAGAGAAATGAGTTTTCCTGCAGTGGCTGATGTGGTTTCGGTTGCTTCTTCCAGTTGAACCTCGAATGAGAGAAGAGTATCTTGGAGTATTTTACTGGGGGCTCATTGCCCTGAATTGAATGCACAAATCGCAAAATTCCAATACTACTATGATCTTCTATGAACATCTATGAACAATAAAAAACAACAAACAAGGGAACAAACAAAACAACAAAAATTGATGCATGGCTGACGCAACAGATCCACATGTTTATTCCGTAAGGGGAGTCGTCCCAAGAATGGCGAACCTTTCCACTGTAAGCGCAAATTCATGGATCCCTCACCATACTTTTGAGCCCTAGCCATGTCTAACATAGTTGTTGGATACATTCGGATACGCAGTGGTCATATCCTGCCTACTCTTAGTAGAGATTCTCATTTTGGACGGGTATATCCTTGTGACTTGTTTTCGAATAGTTTTGAGCCAAAAAAGCTGCCTAGACTCTCCAAATATCCATAGCAAATTGATGTTAAGATTTCCCAAGTTTTTGGTGTTTCAGAGCCCCCCACTGAACCATGATATCTATTTGACTTGAGCACCCCAATGTTTCGGAATTTCTGCATGTTTTTTTTTGCTGGTGACAGATGCTTCTGGCAATGGATTCTATTGGGGAAATCGTCTGGAAATGAACCTTTGAAGCAAGCGGATAATTATATATATATATATATATATCATAAATTAAGTTGTATATATAATAGGGAAAACCACCCTATTTGTGTGGAAGTTGTTTCTTTCCAACGCGAACATGGTGTGTTTTGAGATGTTTTTTCAATGGCAAAATCACTGGCCTTCCCAGGGTGCCACATGGCTCTCAGTGGTGGACCC